GGGGTTAATTCAACAAATGTTGGCCATTTCTCCACATAGGAGGGATAGGCCTAACCCAACAATTCTCCCCCTCTCGACTATGTGGGGGAGATTGCCATTCCAACGATCAAACAACATGCCTCAAACTTTTCTCTTGGCAAAGCTTTGGTCATCATATCCGACCCATTTTCATTAGTGTGAATTTTCTAAAGTTCAAGCAACTTAGAATCTAGGATATCTCTAATCCAATGGTATCTAACATCAATATGCTTTGACCTACAATGGAATGTAGAGTTCTTGCTTAAATGAACAGCACTCTGGCTATCACAATAAACCACATACCTCTTTTGAGCAAACCCAAGTTCTCGAGTAAATCTCTTCATCCAAAGCAACTCCTTACAAGCCTCAACAGCTGGTATAAACTCTGCTTCAGTGGTAAAAAGTGCAACACATCTTTGTAGCCTTGACTACCAAGACACAGCTCCCTTACAAAGTTAATTAGCCCGAAGTAGATTTCCTTATATCAATATCCATAGCCATGTCTAAGTTAGTATATCCTACAAAAATAGGCTCTCTTACTCCAAAACAAAGACTCAAATTAGAAGTACCCCGAAAATATCTCATAATCCACTTCACTGCATTCCAATGTTCTCTCCTTGGATTGGAAAGAAAACGACTAACTAGACCCACTTCATGAGCAATATCTAGTCTTGCACAAACCATTGCATACATTAAACTATCCACTGCAGATGCATAAGGAATTCTTTGCATATCTTCCTTTTCTTCATCATTGGAAGGACATTGATTCTTGTTCAATTTGAAGTGCATAGCTAAATGAGTACTAACCACCTTAGCCTTGTCCATTTGAAACCTTTGAAGTACTTTTTCAATGTACTTGTGATAACCACAACTTCTTAGATGTCCTATCATGACTAATCTTCATGCCAAGAATCTATTTTGCTAGTCCTAAGTCTTTCATAGCAAAAGACTTCTTAAATTCTTGCTTCAACTTCTTGATCCTAGAAGCATTTCGACCAACAATAAGCACGTCATCAACATAAAGCAACAAAATAACAAAGTCATTAGCAGAGAGTTTCTTCACAAAGACATAATGGTCTGAAGAAGTCTTTTTGTGTCCATGCTATCTCATAATAGATTCAAACTTCCTATACCATTGCCTGGGGAGCTTCTTTCAAGCAATACAAGCTCTTTTTCAATCTGCACACAAAATCCTCTTTCTCTTTGACTTTGAATCTTTCACATCCATTTGTTCAACCTCCAAGTCAAGATGTGCTGTTAAACCCAACACAACTTTGATTAAAGACATTTTTACAATTGGAGAGAAGATCTCACTAAAATCAATACCCTTTTTCTAACTAAAGCCCTTGACAACAAGTTTAGCTTTGTACCATGGAACTGAGGTGCCATCTTCATGTTTCACCCTATAAACCCATCGATTCTTCAGAGCTTTCCTATCTTTCGACAACTTAACCAGATCAAAGGTATGATTATCAAGCAAAGATTTCATTTCATCCTTCATGGCTTCAAGCCACTCCAATTTTTACTCACTTTCCATGGCTTCTTGATAAGTTTTAAGTTCTAACCCATCAGTGGCAAGTACAAACTCATTAGGAGTCATTAAGAGGATAACGAGATGAAGGTCTTCATTCCCTGCTAGATCTTCTGGGTGGATTTACTAGGATCTCTACAGGAGCATCATGTTGATCATTCATTGCCTCATTTAAAGGAGCATCAAGATCATTTGCATCTACATGATCATTTTGAACTTGATCACCATCATGAATGTTATCTTGGACTTCATCATTTTGAAGATGATTTTCAACTGCATTTGGTGCCATAGTCTCAATAGCTAGCTTAGAATCAACCAAACTCTCATTGCTTTGAAGACTTGTCTTCTCTGCCCTATCAATATCTTTAATAGTTTGGTCCTCAAAGAATACTACATCACGGCTTTTGACTAGTTTCTTTTCAACTGGATCATACAACTGATAGCCAAATTCATCTTAACCATAACCAATGAAGATACACTGCCTAGTTTTGGCACCCAACTTTGACTTCACGTCCTTGGGGACATGCACAAATGCTTTTCATCCAAAAACCCACAAGTGATCATAAGTAACATCCTTACCATACTAAACTTTATCAAGAACATCATTGTCCAAAGCAATAGTGGGAGACAAATTGATAACATGCGCCACTATATTAAAAGCTTCAGCCAAAAAAGTTCTAGGCAATTTAGCCTCAACAAGCAAACATCTAACTCTCTCCATCAAAGTTCCGTTCATCTTCTCAGCTAAGCCATTCAACTGAGGAGTCTTGAGAGGAGCTTTCTGATGTCTAATACCTTGCTCCCTGCAATAGTTATCAAATGGTCCAGAATATTCACCACCATTGTTTGTACATATAGACTTTAATTTCTTGTCTGTTTGTCTTTCAACCAAGGCCTGAAATTGCTTAAATACATCAAGAACCTGATCTTTGGTCTTCAAGGGATAAACCCAAAGCTTCCTAGAATAATCATCAATAAAGGTGACAAAATAAAGTGCACCACCATGTGACCTTACCTTCAAAGGTCCACATACATGAGAATGCACAAGCTTGAGCAAATCTGGCTTTTTTAACAGAGGATGGTTTTTAAAAGAAATATTTTTTGATTTCCCAGCCAAGCAATGAACACATTTTTCCAACTTTACTTCCTTTAATCTAGAAAGCACATTCTTCTTGGCTAAACAATCTATCCCCCTCACACTCATATGGCTAAGCCTCTTGTGCCATAACTCTGATGATTCATCTTTTCCAACTATATTAACAGAGTCATGAGAAATAGAACCTTGCATCAAATACAAATTGGAAAACTTGGACCCTTGAGCCACGACTAGGAACCCTTAGTGAGTTTCCACTGCCCATCATTAAAAAAACTACAATAACCATCATCATCTAGCTTTCCTGCAAAAATTAAATTAAGTCAGATATTAGGTGCATGCTTGACATCCTTAAGAACCAACTTTGTGCCATTGTTGGTTTGCAAGCAAATTGTTCCCATACCAATCACCCTAATTTGGTCATCATCAGTCATCTTCAATACTCCAAAATCACTGAAAGTATAAGATGTGAAAAATTCCCTTCTAAGTGTAACATGGCATGCAGCACCAAAATCCACAACCCAACTTGTCTCATGAGATGCAAAATTGATGACATTTTCATCACTAGCAAAAAGAAGATCTCCATCAATGGAAGCTACAACACGATTCTCATTATCACCATCTTTCTTCTTCTCCTGCCTCATGTCCCTTTTAAGCTGAAAACAGTATTTCTTGATGTGTCCCTTTTTACCGCAGTGGTGACATTCAAATCTTTGTACTTTGGCCTTGACTTGTTTCTACTTTTATCTCTGCCTCCTTGACCCTTATTTTGCTTCTCCCTCTATCTTCAATGACTAGAACCTCTGACTATGAGGTTGAAGAAGATGCAGCTTGATTAATTCTTCTCACCTCTTCATTCAAGACACCAATCTTAGCATATTCCATGGTCATAACATCATTAGGAGCAACATTGGTCCATGAAACGTGAAAAGTTTTCCATGAATTAGGCAAAGTATTAAGTAGCCAAAGTCCTTGAACTTCATCATCAAACCTGACACCCATATCAAACAAGTGATCAAGGATGCCCTAAAAATCACTAACATGATTTGAAATAGGACTTCCTTCTTTGTATGTCAAATTTATCAACTGCTTTAGCTAGAACAACTTATTATTGCCAATCTTTGAGGCATAAAGTGTCTCGAGCTTTTCCCACAAAGTTCTTGCATATGTCTCATTTGCAATGCGATTTAAGACATTGTCTTCTACCCACTACCTTATATAGCCATAACTTTGCTGGTGCTTAAAAGTCCACTCTTCATCAGTCATAGAATCTGGTTTTTAAGTCCCGAACACTGGCAATGCATCTTTTTCACAGATCTTTCATTTTAACTCTCAATTTCTGATAATTTGTGCCATTCAAGCAAATCATTTTACTCGTATTAGCCTTCATAATTCAAATCGATATTTGAAAAATAACAAGCCAAATTGCTCTGATACCAGTCTGATAGGAAGAACAAGGTGTCACCTGAGCACAACGATAACAAAAACAACATCAAAATCTTCCCCAATCTATTTGAAATTGTTAGGAGCAAGCTAAATTGAGTCCAAATAAATTATGGCAGCAGCTAAAATAAAAATATGTAGAATAGTAAAAATAGGTAAGGCAAAACAACTATCACAAGAAACACAATATTTTTATGTCAAAACCCTAAAATGGGTAAAAAACACAGGACATCAAGTCCATTGAAAATAGCTCAACTATAATAAAAGTGAGTACACAATATCCTCTTCTAGAAGTGCATAAAAACAGCACCAAATAAGATAAACAACAGGCCACAAACCAATAAAGTAAAAGGGACCATGAGAAAACAGATCATGCAAAAAATGAGCTTCTGTTCTGAGCACAAATCAGAACCTACAAAACTCTAACAAAAAAATGACCGTTCAGAATGTAGATCAATGTCTTGTGAACTGCTAGACAAAATTTCAGCTTAATCCAACGGTGAATTTTTGTGGATCCAATAAAGTTGTAAAACTGTGCACTATACCAAAATCTGCAGAATTCTCCCCTGCTTTCTTTCTCTTTCTGCCGGCTGGTCCACTCACATGCTCTCCACTTTCTGCTGTCCAAATCAGACTTCTTTCTTTGTCTTAAAGGGCTGCAAAATGTGGCTTCAAGTGGCTTAACAAGTGTGGGCTTAGTCCAATAAATATTGGCCATTTCTCCACATAAGAGGGATAGGCCTAGCCCAACATGAAGCACATGAAGGCGATGTAGGTAGCGTAGCGTCGTTAACGCTTTTCACTTTTGTACGATGGTAGTTGAGGACGAACGGCATGAGTCCGCCGATTACACCTCCCAGATTGAAGATAGTCCAAACAAGGAAACGTAGCTGCCTTTACGGGCAGTTGAGGGGTAGGAGGTGATGAAGGCGCCTTCTCGAGCCCAAAGAAGTCCTGCACCGACGCCAAGAATGGCATCAGCAACAATGGCGAAGGTCTGGTTGTGGTAGTGATTGTAGTAGAGGAAAGAGCCATCGTAGAGAACGTAAGTGGAACAGCCTAATGCTAGGGTGATCCGGGGACCAAAGATGTTGTAGACACCCCCACCAAGGACCCTGAATATGGAGAAGGTGACATAGACGGCGGTGTTGGCATTGTTGGCCGCATTGGGTCAACCTGGCCGCCACCTCCCATGCCTGAGACTGCATTCAACATGCCTGGGCAACAGAAGCATAGTAGACCTATCAGGATAAACTGAACCAGGGGTGAGTTGCACCTGAAAAGGGAAGAGCCTCCAGATACTCCGTCAGCCGCCACCCTTGCTTATCGCCTTCAAATCCCATGATTGGATTCCTTTCTAATCCAAAAGGGTATCTCCAAGAATTATATATAAGATCAAAGATTGGATCTTTCCAAAAGAGTGCGGCATTGGCATCTGCGAGGGCTTTTGGATGCGCATTCTTATTGGTTTTTCAGAGGGTTTGCCATTCGATAGCAACTAGGATTCTTGTCGATGTTCTTGCTTTCTAGGGCACAGAGAATAAAAACAGAGAGAAGTTCAAAGAAATTGAAGGAACATTCTATGTTTTCTCAATGATCAATACTAGGGATCAGAGCGAATGGAAATGAAGACAGAAGAAATTGATAACCCTCAACGACAGAAAGTCAGAAACCATCAAAGACGCTAATTGTAACAAAGACAACAATAATAGACATTAACTTGCTTGTTGACTCTGCTGCCAAGTCATACTTGCCAAACCGGTTGTTCACATGCTATTGTTACATCAGTTGCTGGTGTTCCAAGTTTCTGAATTAACATCAAAATATGCCGTCAGCATGCTCATGATGGAAGAAACTCAGGGACTTACAAGCCAATCAAACTTTTGCCAACTAAATCAACTTTATATTTTGTTTGGAGAGATGAGCAGCCTTTCAGAGATTGTTTTGATGGAGATATCAGTTGTCTGATAATTTGTGAATCCAATGAGCATGCCAGAACAACTCAATGATCAAGAGGCATGTAGCATTTGGTGTGAGATCATTTTTTCTGCCAAACTGTCATGCCATCTCCAATAGGTACCTAGCATTAAAAAATAGTTCAGTGTGTGAATCGACTTAAATGATATACTAACACATACAAATGGTTAAAAGACCTACCATACTGATGCTAACACGCTTGTCCTCCATTAGATTTTTATTGAAATTCCTAATGCTAATGGTTTTTGCATCATTTACCTGTCAAAAGGCAGCATTATAGTTTAAGCGCCATTTGAAATGAGCAAATTTTATTAATCATAACTAGTTATTTACCATAGGATCAGCAACTTTTCCATGCCAGAGGACATTGTCAATCACAATGACTCCACCCACCCTAACCTGCAAAAACTGGCATCTTTGAAAACCAGTGGCAGTTTAGTGTGTCAAAAGTGACTTAAGGAATGGAAATTTCAAAATCATGGGTATTACCAGTTGCAATAGCAATTCGTAGTATTCTTGATACATCTTCTTTTCAGCATCAACAATCGCAAAATCATAGCTGCTTAATTAGGAAACATATAAGTTACTTCAAACCCTCTGTTATTAAAATTACTATATATATGCAGATATGAGGCTGTCTTGCAGGGAAAGCAAAAAGGAAGATTCCAACACAACAATTGTGTGATCTCCATAGGCAAATTGTTTTCTTAGAAAACGCAATTCATGCACAAGAATTGAAACCACTTACTGCATTCACCTGCCAGCTTCACCATTCAGAATCATAGATTTTAAGGCATCTGCAGCTAGTCCATGTTTTAGAATTACCTAGCATAAATGAAATTTTAGTGCCACGCTGATACTACTTAAACATGTATCAGTTGCACAGACATGTATGACAAACTATGGTGTTATTCTACAATCTACAATTGTCAAAACAGTAGATATAGGAAAAAGAAATGACTAATTGTTAAAAATTTGACAGATCTGAGCAAAATAAGCAGCTCGTAATACTAAAATAAAAAAGGAAAAGAAAAATTTTTTTTTTTGATTGGCGGAAAACAGAGGAAAAAAAAAGTGATACATTTCATGTATCTCTTACAAGCTCTTACCTTGTGTGAAACACCAGCTAGCTCATAATACTTCTTTGCAATCTCAAGAGACTTGGTACCTCTCTCACAGGCAACTAAACAACCTGAGTCTGGTAGGACCAATGCAACAGCCAACGATGAGTATCCCTGAAGGAAAAATAATGATCTAAATTAGCATCCAAAACTTAAGCAGTCAACCACATGAAAGGAGAAGACACCTGCTGGAAACCAAGACAGCACAGAACATGTTTCAATAGATTGAAAATCTAGAGAACATCCTAAGGAGGCATAAATTGCAGATTATGGTCTAATTTGTGAAATTAAAACTCCCGGCCAGCTACAATAGATATGCTTGTATCGTACTTGTACTTTAGATATACTTTTAATTAATTAAAGGAACTACTAATCACAAATATCTAAAAACATCTATTCATTCATCAATAATACAAAAATGGCTGTTAATATACAAAGATCAACCATGGCATTTTTAAGTCGAATTGAAGAGAGATACATAGAGTGTAAACACCAACTTCAATACACCTTTCTGCACCAAGAATATGCACTAGCATCGCCAGCAGTTGTGCTTGATCAGGAGACACCTATCAACGGGTAACAATAACAAAACACTAACAACTTGTTCCTTTACAAATCAGCAACAATAAAGAAAGCTCTGAAATTGGCACCTGCATTTGGCTTCCGCGCATGTTGGCAGTCTCCTCCCGGAATTGCCGGAGAATCTGAACGAGCAGCACTATACAGTCACGCAACTAGTCCCAAACAAATATAAAAGAGTGAAATTCTAGAGAAAATGGGGGGAAAAAGGTTAAAAATTTCAGGAGTACCTGAGGCTCGCGAACGTTAGCGAGAATGTAGCCGTAGAGGCGGGGAGTAATGCTGATGACCTGCTTGTTGCCGTACTTCTCATCGTCAGCAACGACGACTGCGGGGTTTGCAGAGGAGCAGTTCCTTATCAGATGATTAAACCGGCATCTAAGTTTACACGCCCTAGAGTCAGCTCTTGAAGATAACGAATGGAATTTCCGTCGTGAAAGCTCACCTCTGCGAACCAAACGGCAGCAGCCATTACGGCGCGCTGATAAGCGAATAAGGAGCACCGATAAATCGCCGGCAAGCTGCCGGCCATTCTCTCCAGAAGCAGAGACATTGAAGCCGGGTGCATCACCAGGAATTCGGCATTTTGTAGCTAGCGTCTTGGGTCGGGTCGGCTTTCCGATTGGTCGGGTTTTGACCGATCCTACAGAAACGACAGCGTTTTGTTTCTGTTCCAAAGTTTTTCCTAAAATCCATATCCCTGCACCAATCCACTGAGGTTATTTGTGTTAGTAAGGTTTTCATCCAAATATGTTGCATCCTGATTCTTGCAAGTTGAAGAGATCATCCAAATATGTTGCATCCTGATTCTTGCAAGTTGAAGAGATCAATTTTATTACCATTTTGTTTGCATATCAAGATTTTATTGACTCATTATATTATATTAGACATGTAATAATTGCTTTCAGAAGATATATAATCATATTGTTGGAGATATTTACCAACGATCCATTGATCTGAATGGAAGAAATTCAGTTCCTTTTATTCTTTTTAAGTAAGATATCGAGTTCAAGTCATATAAATGAAAAAACAATTGTTGAGAGAGTTTTTCCCCCCAAATGGGATCAAACGCAACTCAATTCTGAATTAATCGAGATTCAATGTAATTACAGGATACCGAAATGTTAGTACAAAAAAAAAATATTGTTGTAGATATTTTCATAGCCAAAACAATAAGCCACGCCCTCTCTGCCTCCATTTGAGAAAAAAAAAAGAAAAAAAAAGAGAGACTGAAATTGCATCTTGTGAATACTTTGGAACAGAACTATTAATTTTCATTTGAATTCTCTATGGATTAATATACACTGTGTGTGGTATGTGGGTAATATAAATTAGGAATCAACAACAAAAATTAACTGAGTAAACTATTCCAACGATCTCTTAGAGCCTCATATGCCTCAGGGCAAGGGGTAGCTTGAAGCCTGGTTTTGCCATCAAGGGTTGTTTCTACCACAAGACCTAGCCTTACCAAAGTGTTCAGTGCCTTCTCAACTGGCATCTCAACCTTCTGTTTGAAAACATCATACATAAATCTCTCACATTTGTCTCCAACTTTTCGATGACATGTGGCCTGCATCACAGCTGTTATTGGTAAATTACAAGCTTTAAAATAATAATGATACAATAATAGAGACATGGAATGGGATTCAGCAGACAGACCTGACCGTTCTCCACTTTAAGCAGGATTGCATAGGTTAAAATCGCTTCCTTGTACTGCAAATAACAGTTTGAGGAGTGTAAAGAATCAGGAAAACAAGAATATGTTATATCCATGATGTTTGGTACAAATGATAAAAGGTGTCTAATGAAAATGTTAATTCTGAATGAATCCGAATTCCTTATTCTGTCTTCCCTGTCTGCTATATATTCTAGAAAATAAAGGAGAAACTCTTATCCAATTTGGATCACAATAATTAAGCACTTATTTCTGCATCTCCCCAAAATAAACTACTAAAAAAGGAGCTTCTCACTTGCTGCTGTTCAGAAGCATCCAGAAGAAAATGGACTGCACCAAAGCCACTCGCCAGAGTTTTCTCATAAAGGGTTTTATTCACCAATAGCTGTGCAAATATATTGAGTTGAGATTTGTTGAAAAAAATTTTGAGCAGCATGTAAAGGTCGTAATGTCCATTAATGCAACTAGAAGGATTTTTACTCACTTGATACCTATCCCATGTCTGTTTGTAACCCAAGGCCACACGAGTAACATAAATTATTAGAGCAGTGACAGCAACCACATCAAGAAATATTGCCGATCTGTATAAAATTTAAGAAAAACTTGATCAACATTGGTCTAATGGAGGAAAACTGAAAGTAGATACAATTATTTGGAATTTGGAGTCTTGAAAAGAAGAAAAGGATTTTCCACTCCATGCATGATGAGAATGCTGAAAAGAAGTATAGAACAGTCGGTTTTTCAGAAATCTGATATGCAGCAAAAAGCGTTGGCTCTCTCTCTATATATATATACCAGCAAAAGCAAAAAAGAAATATTGCATAAAATTCGGAAAGTGCTTACGGGGAAGATAGGATGTCCTCAAATTTGTAATTTATGAAGAATGCCAAAAGTCCCAATATTGTGGCAACATCCAAGCGGACCTACATATGGAATTTCACACATCAAGGCCGGAGTTTGAAAGAACATCTTCCATTTAAAGTCTCTGTTTAAATATCTAGAACATTAGAAACTGCCAGTACAACCTTCAAGATAGGAACTAGGATAATAGAAACTCTAAACTATAATATTTCACAAATCAATCTATATATTCATGTTATTATTTAGTTTAAATCTCAATAAAATCCAACGAAAATTTGATTTGCTGGCGCATACCGTGTCAATGATACGGAAAGACAGCTTTTTGTGAGGAAAAACAACCTACAAATGATTAGACAAAATTGTAAAAATTTGAGGGCACATTAATCAAGCATCACAAGCTGGGAAAAATGGTTTTAATAAGGACATGATAAGAACTTAGGAAAAAACCAACACAAGCATAACATGTTAGAGAGAATTGACGGACGTGGCAGTGTAATAAGTATTTACTGGTAAATCTGGAATAGGAATTCTCTCATAGATCTTTAACTGCAATGCTTGACCCTCAGAGTCATTGTTAGTATCACTTTCAATAGTGTCCTTGGTATAAAGCAAAATCAGTTCCTGGAAAGATGGCTCCTGATCACCAAAGAGACCATAATTCAAAGAAAAAACATTAATTGGTTAACATGGAAACTCTAGAGCAGAATTTCTTGACTACTATTTTAAGCATTCACGAAAGAAGAGAAGTGGGTTACATACGCAAGGAATACCTGGAGGATAGACTGTGATAGAAGAATGGCAATGGAAGTTTTTAACATTTTCCAAACATCATTTCCACAGTACTTCCTTGTAGCAGGCCTCCATATATCACTCAGTGATATCCTTGATAAGAAAGTTGACCTGGGTGAAATATTTTTTAGTTAATTAGAAAGAATGGTCTACATTATACAATTTCCTAAAAATAGTAAGAAATCCTCATGGAGGACACCATTGTAGCCAACGTGAACATCACACAAAAATGACATTATTCCAGTAGTTTAGGTCTTTATTGTTCATGTTCTTTGGATCAAAAGGAAAACTATGCCACATCCCACATGTCAACTTACACACTCCTATCATACCCTAGCCATTAACAAAAAAATTAAAAAAAAAAATAGAAACAATGAGGCATCAAATGCACAGATTTCTGTAGACACGAGCCCATGATACTTGATGTCAAAATAAGATAAAAAGTTTGATTAAAACAAACCTCAAATAAGGTTCAGAAGCACTACTGTTGCTATTAAGCTGAAATGGAGTTTCTGGTGTAGGAGGTATAAGCCCAATCCAAGCAAGCAACTTTCTAAGAAGCCTTCCACGAGGTCCTATTTCTGATAGAAATCCCTCATAACGACTTACTGCCTTCTGTGCAGCCAGCCAAATACGAAGATCACCATCTGATGGTTGGTCTACTCCCAGCAGATTATCAGAACTTTGTTCATTATTAAAATATGACTCCTGAAATAGGGCCAGTTCCTTCAGCCAGTGCTTCATTCTCTTAACCCAATCTTGTGCTTCTTGGGTCTGAAAAGCATCTTTTAAAGCCTGTGCTAGAGGACAAAAAGAAGCTTTGTAAAATGCAAACAATCCAGCAAGCACTCTAGAAGATAAAGTAAGCAGTAAAATACACCATATTGTTGTAGAAGCCATCTGAATCCTAGTCTCACATCACAAGGCCCAATTGATTTTACAACATATATATATTTTTTCTTGAGTTAGATTCTATAAATTTGTTTGACACAACAATAAAAGGTGAAGCTTCAGAGTTCAGAAATCCTCATTGCTGATATATATGAGCCTATCTTGAGTCTAAATAGGCCAAGTAAGAAGTCATATAAAAGCTTAGCATCTTTGACCAGCAACTCACAGCATGCATTTATTTCTAATTTACCGATAGAAAGAGAAAGGAAAAGAGCAATGACCTCAGCAATGACCTCATTTATCCATTTTCCAGCTTTAACCAGTGGTCTTGATATGATAGAGAAGATTCCTCGCAAAAGTCTGGATTGCAAGTAATCCAGTTTTTCAACAATTAAAAGGCCCTTCTGTCTCTCAGTTGTATATCCACGCCTGAGGAAAGAAATCATGTAAGAAATATAGAAATTGTGACTATCAGCATTGTGATTTCTTAGTGCAAGCTTAGGGATTAGGTTTAAAAACTGGAAGGTATGAACTCAAATGGCAGCATTGCAAGACATATAACTTTTACTTCCAGGCAAATTTTCAGCTACTAAATGTAACCAGGTTCATTTTGACAAACTAGAGTTCACGTTGTACTCAAAACAGGAAAAAAGTTAAACATTATTCTTATAAGCTCTACCCATAAGAATAAATTACCTGAATTCAACTTAAGAAAAAGTTAAACTTAACTGTGCAGGCAATTCTATACAACTAAATTACCTGAATATAATTGCATTTGATTGAGATGCCCTTTTCCAGTCAACATAAATTGGCAACGTGAGAAGATAATCTGAATTGAGGGCAGATGTCAACATCAAATCCCTAGCCGATAGCTCTTCAAACTGAGCATCATAAAGAAGTTGCATGAAAGCATGCTGGAAACGAGTTGCAACAGCAAGTCTACATAAAAAATATTTGCATTCAAGAGTTAAATTCACCCAAAACATGAATACAAAAAACACAGTTAACTAGAAATCAACATTGTCGGTTTTTTCAATGTTTTGGTAGAGACACTTAGAATGGTTCCATCAAAAAAGGTTTTTTCAACTAGAGCCCAACAAGCCAACTTAGAAATGAAGAGAGGCCATTATCAAATATCAAGCTAAAGAGAATTCAGTTTTGTGACAAACCTGGACTTTTTATCAGAATATCTCCCAAAATTTTTCATAGAAGAACTTAAGAAATTCCTCCAGTCAATATCATAATTGAAAAGCAAAGGCAACTTGTCAAGCTCACTTTCTTCCTTGTATCCATCTAAGCTACCAACTCCGTTGATGGAATTGGAATCCTCAGTCAAGTTTGATGCTTTGCCGTTAGGAACCACTTCAGCTGAGTCAGACGTTTTCCCTCTTTCTGAAACAGCTGTTTTCTCAGTTCCCTGATCACCCATGGAATGAGAATGGTAGTAATCCGATCGCATTTGCTCCAAAATGCTTTTGTGTTCAGCATGAAGAATCGAATCCAAACACCTAGAAATTCATCCAAACATGGATTTCATAGAGAATTTAAGTTGATTATGCAGAAAATTAACCAATAAAATAGCAATATTGAAGTTAAAATGCACTCACGAGGAGAGTCGGAGAAAGTGATGACCATCGTCATCCTCAGAATCAAACAACTTCAACACAATAGCATCCAAAAGCTCTGCCTTTGAGACCTGAATATGTCTCTGTCTAGGCACTTGAATTCTCGAAATTCCTGGTTCTTCTTCCTCTTCTTCGTCTTCTCCTCCTTCGTCATTGCTCGGAACAAAAGCCGTTTGATTGCTCTGCCTCTGCGTCAAACTAACATCCTCACTTCTGGATTCCAAAGGCTCCATGGATACCGCCCGGAGGGCCGGTGGCGAGCAAGCTGTGACTCCAATCGGAGCAACGCGAGGCCTCCTCCGTACATGGCGGGAAGATAGAGAGTGAGCAAGTGAACAACCACATCGTCTCGATTGTGGAACGGCGACGTCGTTAAGAGCTCGCCAAGCTAACATGAGGAGTCCGTAGAAGCTCCTGCAGGCTCTTGCTGTTAGCTTCCTTCAGTACATTGGCTGCTTGCTCTTGAAAGCTCCGAAGGTAGCGCCTTTGTTCTTTGAAAGGGAGAATTTGGCGGGTCGGACATCGGGTCATGTTTGGATAAGGGAAATCAGGGGCCAACAATGGATTGGCCCCTGTTTGATTCATCTTAGTCCATTTGCCCCCAGTAACCAGTAATATAAAGAAGGTCAATTTCCTTGAAATTGATTCAATTCTTCCATGTAAGTCCTTTTTTTTTTTTTTTACATTAAAGGTTAGCTGCAATGATGTAATAAAGGCTCCCTTAAATATATATATATATATATTTTTTTTTTTTTTTTGAATTTGGGGAATTGGTTGGGAAAGGGGAAGTAAGACCTAAGATTAAAATTCAAGTCAAGCGTCTAAGCACACCATCTCAAGTAAGTAGTCATTAAATCACCAAATATTGGACAAGACTTTTTAAATGTTTGAAAATAAAATTAGATACACTTTTAATTAAGTAGCATGTATCTTTTTATAGTGTTAATGAACTAAGTAATTTATATTTTATTTGTTTATTTTTTTTTAAACAAGATTACATGTTGAGGGTTTAAGGAAAGGGAGGACTTGAACTCAAATTTGGTGAGAAGTCTTATATAAGGTGTAACGACTTGTTCTATCTAAAACTTCTCTATAATTAATTTTATTTTAAATTAAAGTTGCAAGATATATAAATAAAGTGAGTTAAAAGATAAAAAAAAAAAAAAAAACCTTGAGAACGTGGTAGCGAGTAGGGGTTTTAAGTAAAAAGAAGGTTGGAAAAGTAACTTTGAGGGGCTAATTTGAGATATAAATTAGTAGTGTGATCTGATTGAAACAATTGACTTAATTGAGAGGCCAATCTTTTTTTCTTTGACATAAAGGCGCGACGGCATTTTCAGGTACGTGGCATTTGTCATGCTGGACACACAAAAAAAAAATTAAAAATTAAAAATTCAGAGCGAACATCAACAGACGACAGTAGAGGCTAAAAGGGAAAAAAAAAAAGAAATAAAAAAAGGAAAAAAAGCAAAAGGAATTCCGATTACAGTTTTCGTTTCCCATTCCTCTGTGGAAATGCAGGAGCAAAGCTAAATCCCTTGGCTTCCAAGAAGCTCACTCCATCCCTCCTTCCCTAGATTCGCTCGCTGCCGTGTTTCTCCCTGAATTTCTGTTTGAGTACGCCAACTTTTTCTTGTTTTGGGTAGGATTGATCAATCAGTTGCGTTGTTCCTCTGCTCGATTGCGTGCTTTTATGGGTATCTCTTTTTCCCCTTTGCTTGGCTTTGAGATTTCTGCTGCGGCGTTTTCCTTTTTTGGTTTGATCTGTTGATTTTCTTGTTACGGTACTTGCTGTAGCTGGTAGATTTTCTCAATGTTGAATCTCTGTTGATTCCTGTATTCTGTGTTTTTTAAGTGTCTTTGGGAAGTTGATGAATGCTGTTTTGATGATTACACGATCTGCTACCTGTAATTTGTGGCCATGTTTGTATAAATTTGTTGGCTTTCCATAGCGCTGGGTTTTGGCTTGGAAAAAAAAAAAAAGCTGAATGTGTTATGACTGTGTTAAGTGGAACCTGTTAATTTTTGTGGCTTATAGAAAGAAAATTTGCAAACAGGATGGGAATGCAATCGATGTTTGTGAGTTATGCCCATTTTATAGCCTGAATATGTATGTGATTTTCAGGTCACAAAATTCTGCTTGGTGCTTTGGCATCTACATGTGACTAGATTGTGGACTTCTTGAACCCTTTGGTGCCAATGGGAATACAGAAGATTCCCCATTGGAATTCAGAGGTCGGTCATTTCCTCTGTCGTTTTTCTTATGGAAAGGGGATGGAAGATAACCCTGTCTCAGGGGCAGACTCAGGTGATGATCTTGATGACTGTCAATCAACAGAAATTAGCTGTGAGCTTGGCATGGTAGAAGGTCAGATTTGCAGCATACCTTATGAACTTTATGATCTACCGGATTTGAGGGAAATATTGTCTTTGGATACATGGAACTCTTGTTTGACAGAGGAAGACAGGTACCATCTTTCAGCCTACCTTCCTGACCTGGACCAGCAGACTTTTTGGTTAACCATGAGTGAGCTCCTTGGTGGTAAAAATATGTATTTTGGGAATCCTGTGGATATGTTTTTCAGAAGATTGAAAGCTGGATATTATCCTCCAAAGGTAGCTTCTTTAAGAGAATCTTTGCTCTTTCTTCAGAGGAGAAAGCATTTCCATTCATTAAGGTCTTATCATGATAGAATGGTTCAATTGTTCATAGACATGAGAAGGGCATGGGACCAATGTGACAAGTGTGCTCCTGTTGAAGTAAGGCTTGATATGTGGAAAGCTAGGAGAAAGCTCAAGGATGTCAATTTGCTTGACCTTAATACAGTCCCAAAAGATGGAAATGTCTCAAATGATGAGGATGAACTTCTTTGTCATTTTTCTAAGAGAATGAAGGGCTTGGATAGCGTTAGATCAAATACATTATTCCCCTCTCCATCTGCCAATGGAATGAACTTCATTTCTCCAAACTGTAGCACGAAGGGTGTTCTGAAAGTGAAGACTGCTGGCAGTCGTTTGGTCTGTAATAATAAAAAAAAGAGGGTATTAGGTGATGTAGTGGAACAATCTCGACCAAAGGGGCTGTTGAAAGTAGTTCCCAAATTATCTTCTTCCTACCAACCACTGCAATCAGCTCCATTGATCAGCACCCAAGGTTTGCAGGATTGCAAATTCTCCTCTCTGACCTCATCAACATATTTGTGGAAGACAGGAGGCCTCAGTGAATCACCATTTTTGTGGCAGAATTTTGATGGTAGCAAAGCTCGTGCAACCTCAGAGCAATCTCAGTGTAATTTAGGTCAGCGAGATGATACTTTAGTAGGCAGTAGATTTTTTCATAGTGTAGACAAAAATATAAACAGAGAAGTTAAAATTACTGATTTAGGCAAATGCAAATTGTTTGGACATGATGTGGGAATTGGTCCTAACGAAGAATCTGAGTCCTTAATTGATATGATTGGTGCAAGGAGACTTAACATTGGTGATAAAAATTTGTGGCAGAAGTTTGACATGAGAGGTAAGGGATTTTCTGAGAGATCTGTGGGATCATACCCATTTTCTACTCAGTTCCATGATGTTCAGCGGCAGACCAGAGCCATGCAAAGCGAGGATACCAGCATCCATTCTAGAACTCCTCCTGGGCTCTCAAGAATTTCAGACATGGGAGTTGGAATGCGGGAAATATCATTGTCCTCTCCCATTCAGCTGAAAAGCTCAAGTGATATCCACAATGAGAAATCAGAGGGGTTTAAGGATGAAAGGGTGCTTCCCTTGACATACAAGCGAAGGAAGTCTCAGGTGAAACTTAACTCATCTGGGATAGGAAACAAACAAATGAGAGGTTCTGATCTCAGATCTGCTAATCCTGAAGATTCAAACCAACATTTGGGGGAGAGTGTTAATGACTTGAAGGTAAACTTCATGGACTGGGAAGATACTTCGTCAAAGAAGGAACTATGAACATCATGTGAAGGACCAATACATGTCTAGTATCAAACTCACATCTTGGACTTTCCACTTTCCATGTAATCCTCGGTACAGGTTCCTCTGTAAATAAATCAGGATATAGTGAAGAAAGAAAGTTGTTATCTCTGGGTTTATCCCATTGTCAAACAAAACGTTGTTGACTCTTATTCACCTAGTTTCCTAGCTGGTAAGTGAACTTTGAGATTATCTGTTGTTTGCAAGCGGCATGTGATTTAGGGCCTGTTTACTGGAGCTTGGTGGAGCTTTTACTTTTTTAGCATTATTTATGTCATAAGTTTAAATTTTTATTTATGAGAAAATTTAAAAGTTACTTTTAGAAATAATAAAAAAAATGAGTAAGAAGTGAATAAAAAAGAAATTTATAAAAATTAACATTTTGAAATTTTTTGAAATTTAAAATTTTATTGTTTAAGGTTTTTTTAAGGTTAAAAAAATTAAAAAATGTAAATTTTTTAAAAAAAAATATAAATTTATGAAGTATGAATAGTATCAAAAAACTGAAATACTTACAAATTTCACAAAACATGTTCTTAGATTGTCATCTAATAATGGTTTCACTTGAGAGTCAAGAGTTCTGAAATCTTGTCATTGCTAGAATTCAATTAACGGTTATGTTAGGAGTCCTAATACATTATTTAACCTTCTGGAGTAACAACTCAGAATTCTGTTGGCTTTTCGATAACTGATTGAGGAATCATTCACCATGTTGAAATGTACTAAACCTATCAATTTCTTAAACTTTTATTAACGTCTTCTTGTCGGTGTAGACTGTAACACCAGTTAGCATGAAAACGAAAAACAGTTAGAAACCATTTTCCGTCTCATCGCGAGTCACATGCATCCATTGACATTGCTAACAAACTCACACTCTCAGCCTCTCAATAATGAAATTTAGCCAACAATGAAAATGACTGCAATTTTGGACTAAATCAAGGTGTTCCTTCATCGTTGAAGCTATTTAAACAATGTTTATTTGATGGTTTAAACAAGTAACTAATCCCTAAAAAACTGGGGTGATCAATTGTATTGGTTATGAGTTGGATGAGCAGAACATTGAATTACATAAAGTGGGGTGACAATTTTGTTAGGTTAGAGAATTGGGTGACCAAAATATTAATTTTGACAAAGTTAGGTGACCACCCATCAGAGTTACCCTTTAACATGGAGCAGAATGATTTCTGCACCAGAAAACGTTCAAAAAAGAAATGAAATTGAAAGGAAATAATTCAATTGCATTCCCAAGTCAGCATGTTGTTTGTTTGTCCAACTCATATTCTAACTGACCAAAGTCAATATTCCAATGTAAAGCACAATTTAGTTACAGTAACAAAATAAAATTTAACACCAGACAAGCTTTTACAGAGTTCAAGGTTTTCATGGTCTGCAAGCATCATGTTCCACAGCCTCCAGTAATGACAAACTTTCCCACGCACCGTGTTTGGAATGGGAAAGCTTTGATTATTCTATACACTTAAGAGTTTCTGTCACAGCCATATATGCACATGTTTTCCAAGCTAAGAACTTCTCCAGCAAGTTTCCAAAGAAGAAGATTGTTTTAGCCCATCTACTGACTTCAGGTTCTTTGGCACTGGTAGGATCTTTCTTGACATTGAGGATCATAGTGTGCCTAGTTTCTTTACATAGTGCCTCAACAGTCTTCATATCTACTGGATTCCGTAGAGCCTCTCACATGTCGAAGACATTCACTGCTTTCTCCCCAGTTGTTGTGACATCAGCTCTTGTGACTGACAATCCATTCTCTCGCAAAATCCGTGTCACTTCTGAAAGTAATCCAACTCTATCCTTCGCGCAGAGCTCCAGACTTAGACCCCTAATTCATGGTTAAATCCACTAAATATATCTCAATTGGCAAAAAAATAAAACGAAAAAGAAAAATTCTTAGACTTACCTCACTTACTCTACTATGAATTGCAGCTTCCAGACATTTGATGACCCTTTCTTGCCATCCATATGGCGAATATAATACTCCTACAAGTTTACTCATTTAGGTAGAGTTCAATAATTTAAACGGCATTAGACAATTTATGCATATAAGCACAATCATTCCAATACATATAGTTTCGAGTTAACAGAGTGATGAGACAACAGAAGTCATTACTCAGAACCTGGAATGGACATCTGATTGCTCTGCAGAAAACAAAAAGTAAAGTAAATTGTTTCAAAGGCCCGAAGTACTAGAAAAATGCTACCATAAGTTTCTTACTTAAATTGTTATGGTCCATGAAAATTAAATAAATGGTTTTACAGCAAATTCTTTAGACCTCCCACTCCCCTAATGATCTTTCAAATTAAATTGGTTCTGATTTGATTAACGAACGGATCAATAAGAATCCAATTCAACCATTACCCTAACGTGTACTTCTAACAAGCTCGCGTGTAAGTGACACATATCACCATGTACACTGTCTTTCACTGTAGTCTGGTTTCTATGGCTCAACAAGCAAGATGGAACCATTCACAATATATATAAAGCATATCGTCATGAAAGCGGAAAATGTTTTTCACTTCCCTTTCTCCTAGTTTATTTTCAGATGCTAGTAGACATGATGCATGTACCTGTGTTGCGTAGGGGCCATCTGATGAGATGGTGGCTTGAAAACCAATGTACTGCATGTCTGCGAACGTGCAGACAATGTCAAACAACAGCTTAGCACGATCTTTGCTCCGGACAGTAACAACTGAGTATCCTTGTCCTCACAACTCTCAACTGTGATCTTGGGTTTGAAGGATGGAGAATAGTCAACCTTAGTTGTCAATCCACCGCCTTTATAATTTCTATCAGCAAACAACATTTGGTGAAGCCGCGGATCAATATGAGTAAATCCCATGGAGAGGCAGGTTCGAGCCACTTTCTCATCGTCCTCACATTTGCGTATTATGTTCTTGAGTTGCTCCTCCATATATTATGTTGAGACATCTCTCCTGCAAAAACACAAGAAACAAAAATAAAAATAATATTTCAAATTAACCATCATTTAATACAATACAAACTAATAGCATAAAAATGAAAAAAAATGGCACAAAGTCATTTACATTATATAAGAGATTCTCCCAATATATAAACTTACAACTAGAATGAAAAAATTAGTTTAAATATAAATTAAAACTCTAAATTAGTATAATTATATAAAATATTAAAAAAAATTATAATAAAATAGAAGAATGTATGGGCTAGAAAATATATCATTGGATTGTGACAAAAATTTCATGAGAATGAAATTAGCCTATGAAAAATAAAAGAGTAAAAAACTAAGAAAATGAGAAGAGAATAGGAAGAAAGAGAGAAATGAATTTGAAGAAGAAGAAGAGAAATGGTATAATGGCAGGAGAACTACTATGGGTGATATACATATATAGAAACATTTGCATGAGTCAATATTATTTGCTTTAACATTGTTGACATAAACAATAATTCAGTCAAAAGCAATGGGAAGACTTAGCGAGTTCGAAAATTTTTGAAAATTTCATATTAGTTAGCATCAGTGTTAAGTTACTGACTTAAAAACCTAAGAAAAATCTAACCAAATGATTTATGAAAGACCTCATAAAAAAAATCTGCTTTTATAAATACAAAACACCTTATAAAAATTACTTGTAAACCTACATATTTGTCTATTAATCCTTCTACCAACATAACATATTTCATCCAAATAAATAAAAAAAACTAAACCTTATTTGCCTATTAATCTATGTACAAACATTTGATGTAAAATAAAATTTTAAACTTGTTTCGATCCATTCAACCTAATATAAGCATATATAGATAAAAATAATAGGTTCAATTAATATTTAAGTATTATTAAGTTTAGAAACATGCAAAATACAACAAAAACAATGTAATGAATCCAAGATTAAGCCCAACATCCTCATTAACATGGGATCAACATAAAGTATTTACTCATTACCCATATCATCATCATCATCATCATCATCATCACCACCACCACCACCACCAAACTCATAACAATCTAAATATAGAAATCTATCAAACCTATTTTTTTGCTGAGTAGCTGGAGTTTCTGACCTGCCTAATGAAGTATTAGGTTGGGTTTGACATGGTGCAAAAAGATTTGGAACATTACTAATACTAGACTTGTGAGAACTACCATTCCCAGATCTATAGGTATTACCAAACATGCCATCATATCTCTATGATAGATGTAGTGTAATAGGTATTGTACAAAAAAGGGCAATTTCATAATTGAGGGACTAAAAAAGTATATAAAAAATTTTAAAATGAAAATTATGCAAAATTCTAAAGTAAGGAAATAAAATTAACATTTAACCTAACATTTTTTATAAGACAAAATATATTTGTGGGAGCTTTAAATGTCGAATGTGCTCAATGTTAAGTCTAAAAGGGAAAAGAAAAACAAGAAAAAGTTAGATATGAGATATTAAACATTTAGGTTTGCAAAAAAATTAAAAAACTTTTAAACGAATGATTTTCTTACTCTTTTGTTTCTTTTTTGTAGAGACTAGATATTTGATATACAATTTCAAGAAAAAAAAAAAAGACAGTTAAATACGGTATGTATAACATGCAAATTTGGTAAAAAATTAAAAACCTTTTAAAGAAATGATCTTCTTACTCTCTTGTTTCTTTTTCTAGAGACTCAATACTTGGATCTACAATTTCAAAAAAAAAAAAAAAATAGACAAAGAGCTAGATCTAACATGTTTAACATGCAAATTGAGAAAAAAATTTAAAAACTTTTAAAGAAATGATTTTTTTTTTACCTTTTTGTCTCCTTTGTGGAACTCAATTTTAATGAATGTTGTTGAAATTTGAGATAAACAGTGGTTTTCTATTGCTTTCATAAAAAAAATGGAGGAGAAGTAAACAAAAGCTTCAGAAAAATGCAGGGCAAAAAAACTAAGGGCAAAAAAACCTACATATGTGTTTAAAAGGCAACACCAATTATTTGTATCAACACAAGTCTTGATGCAAATGGTAAACAATTATTGACCCTTCACTCCACTGAAACATGTCTAAAGCATAGAGTATAATGAAATAGTACCGTATCTATTTACAAATAGTAAGATACTATTTGTCTAGTTACTTTTTACCAATTTTATAACTTTTCTAAAACATTGATCGTAATAAATTGGGTTTTGTCGGACTTTAGACCCTATTTACATCAACAATGCTTACACTAATATTTTTATTTGACATTGAAAAATTTCTTTGCGACAAATTTTGTTGGCATGAATAATTGGTATTACCTATATTTGTGTACAAACACTTGATACAAACACTTGATGTAAAATACAATTTTAAACTTGTTTCAATCCATTCAATCTAATATAAGCATTTATAAATAAAAATAATAAGTTCAATTGATATCTAAGTACTATTAAGTTTAGAAACATGCAAAGTACAACAAAAATAATGTAACAAATCCAAGATTAAACCCAACATTCTCATTAACATGGGATCAACATAAAGTATCTACTCATTACCCACATCATCATCATCATCATCAAACTCAAAACAATCTAAATATAGAAATTTATCAAACCTATTTTTTTGTTGAGTAGCTGACAGAGTTTCTGACTTGCCTAATGAACTATGAGGTTGGGTTTGACATGGTGCAAAAAGATTTGGAACATTACTAATACTAGACCTATGAGAACTACCACTACCAGATCTATAGGTTTTACCAAACATGTCATCGTATCTCTGCGATGGATGTAATGTAATAGGTATTATACAAAAAGGTGCAATTTCATAATTGAGGGACCAAAAAAGTATATAAAAAAATTTTAAGATGAAAATTATGCAAAATTCTAAAGTTAATGAACTAAAATTAACATTTAACCTAACATTTTTTATAAGACAAAATATATTTTGTGGAAGCTTCAAATGTCCAATGTGCTCGATTTTAAATCTAAAAGGAAAAACGAAAAACAAGAAAAAGTCAGATCTAGAATATTAAATAATTAGGTTTTC